ATAACAAATCCAAAATATTTTATAATATCATCTAATTTAAAATGTATTATTAACAACTGTAAGAAAAATAGCACACTATATGATTTATAATACAAAAATTAATAATAAAATAAAAGATTTGGTTATCAATGTAGAAATTATTAGAATGCATACTAATTTTCTTTAATTTTTTAGGTTTCTAGAATAAATTAGTGGAAGAGATTGTTAGTAGAAAGAGAGAAATTTCAAATGGCCTTATTATATGAATCCTATCTTTAATTAATATTACTAAATTTATATTAAAGACCATCATGTTATAAAAATAAAAAATATAATTAGACCATTTATTCTTAAATTGTATTAAGAAATATTTTTTATTTTTTTTAACAAGAAATACTTATTGTACTATCTTTTAATTTTTTTTACAAGAAAAATATGATACTTGTTGATTATCTTTCTTTTTTTTGACAAAAGAAGAAGATGTTGCATTACATTTTTTTTTGTTTGTTGTATTAATTTTTATTTTTTTTTACAAGTAAAATAAAAAAATGATGTTGCCAAAGTACATTTTTATTTTTTTATGCCAAAGTACATTTTATTTTTTTATGCGTTTTATTTTTTTGCAAGAAATACTTGTTATATCACCTTGTATTTTTTTTACAAGAAAAATAAAAAAATGTTGTATTATTTTTTTTATCTTTAGCTTAAAAAACCTTTTATTTGTTATTTTTTTATTTTTTTACAACAGTATTTTCTGCCTTTGTTTATTTTTTTGACAACAAATTGTATTTTTTTATAAGAAAAATAAAAAAAAGTTGGATTATTTTTTTTATCTCTATCTTGAAAAGTCTTTTATTTTATATTTTTTCTAATTTTTTACAACGGTATTTTGTGCCTTTGTTTATTTTTTTTACAACAAAATTTTTTTTGCTGTGCACTAGGGGGTTCGAACTAAAATTTTTTTTTGGTTGTGTGCTAAGGCTAAGGGGTTCGAACTCAAAAAAAAATATTGTTGTGCGCTAAAGGGTTCGAACTCAAAAAAATTTTGGTTGTGCACTAAGGGGTTCGAACCCTAGACGTCCACCGCAAGTTGTCAATAATATATAATAATATATATTCAATCCATTGTGCGTGTAGAAAAGCGATTGGGAAGACATGTGAGGTCAGTTACCACGTGTTGCGTGAGGCGGCCACTTGTGGCAACGTGTCTTTCTCGTGAGGCGGGCACATGTAAAAAAAATATTTTTTTCGATGAGACTCGCGATTAACTATTGGGAATCGCCCGGTTCTCTCTGGATACGGGCGATTCACTATTGAGAATCGCCAGATTCTCTCTGGATACGGGCAATTCCCGGTTTTTTCGTGGAACCGGCTCGGTACCAAATGATTCCCGAGTTGAACCGGACAAGTCCGGCTCGACTCGACGAGCTTTCAAACA